GATCTCCCTGTGCTATGAGGCTGCTTCCCACTAGCTATTTTACATTTGGTAGTGTATTTATGTCCATGCCACTCTCTCACTTTGTCCCAGATTACCCTTCCCCCTCCCCGTATCCTCAAGTCCATTCTCTAGTAGGCCTGCATCTTTATTCCCGTCTTGCCCCTAGGTTCTTCTGACCATTTTCTTTTTTCTTTTTTTTTCTTTTTTTATATTCCATATATATGTGTTAGCATATGGTATTTTTCTCTTTCTGACTTACTTCACTATGTATGACAGTCTCTATGTCCATCCACCTCAATACAAATAACTCAGTTTCGTTTCTTTTTATGGCTGAGTAATATTCCATCATATATATGTGCCACATCTTCTTTATCCATTCATCTGCCGATGGACACTTAGATTGCTTCCATGTCCTGGCTATTGTAAATAGTGCTGCAGTGAACATTGTGGTACTTGACTCTTTTTGAATTATGGTTTTCTCAGGGTGTATGCCCAGTAGTGGGATTGCTGGGTCATATGGCATTTCTATTTTTAGTTTTTTAAGGAACCTCCATACTGTTCTCCATAGTGCCTGTATCAGTTTACATTCCCACCAACAGTGCAAGAGGGTTTCCTTTTCTCCACACCATCTCCAGCATTTATTGTTTGTAGATTTTTTGATGATGGCCATTCTGACTGGTGTGAGATGATACCTCACTGTAGTGTTGATTTGCATTTCTCTAATGAGTAGTGATATTGAGCACCCTTTCATGTGTTTGTTGGCAATCTGTATATCTTCTTTGGAGAAATGTCTATTTAGGTCTTCTTCCCATTTTTGGATTGGGTTGTTTGTTCTTCTGATATTGAGCTGCATGAGTTGCTTGTAAATTCTGGAGATTAATCCTTTGTCACTTGCTTCATTTGCAAATATTTTCTCCCATTCTGAGTGTTGTCTTTTCATCTTGTTTATGGTTTCCTTTGCTGTGCAAAAGCTTTGAAGTTTCATTAGGTTCCATTTGTTTATTTTTGTTTTTATTTCCCTTTCTCTAGGAGGTGGGTCAAAAAGGATCTTGCTGTGATTTATGTCATAGAGTGTTCTGCCTATGTTTTCTTCTGAGAGTATTATAGTGTTTGGTCTTACATTTACGTCTTTAATCTGTTTTGAGTTTATTTTTGTGTATAGTGTTAGGGAGTGTTCTAATTTCTTTCTTTTACAGGTAGCTGTCCAGTTTTACCAGCACCACTTATTGAAGAGGCTGTCTTTTTTCCATTGCATATTCTTGCCTCCTTTATCAAAGATAAGGTGACCATATGTGCGTGGCTTTATCTCTGGGCTTTCTATCCTGTTCCATTGATCTATATTTCTGTTTTTGTGCCAGTACCATACTGTCTTGATTACTGTAGCTTTGTAGTATAGTCTGAAGTCAGGGAGCCTGATTCTCCAGCTCCATTTTTCTTTCTCAAGATTGCTTTGGCTATTTGGGGTCTTTTGGGTTTCCATACAAATTGTGAATTATTTTTGTTCTAGTTCTGTGAAAAATACCATTGGTAGTTTGATAGGGATTGCATTGAATCTGTAGATTGCTTTGGGTAGTATAGTCATTGTCACAATGTTGGTTCTTCCAATCCAAGAACATGGTATCTCTCTCCATCTATTTGTATCATCTTTAATTTCTTTCATTAGTGTCTTATAGTTTCCTACATTCAGGTCTTTTGTCTCCTCAGGTAGGTTTATTCCTAGGTATTTTATTCTTTTTGTTGCAATGGTAAATGGGAGTGTTTCCTTAATTCTTCTTTCAGATTTTTCATCATTAGCGTATAGGAATGCCAGAGATTTCTGTGCATTAATTTTGTATCCTGCTACTTTACCAAATTCAGTGATTACCTCTAGTAGTTTTCTGGTAGCGTCTTTAGGATACTCTATGTATATTATCATGTCATCTGCAATGACGGCTTTACTTCTTTTCTGATTTGGATTCCTTTTATTTCTTTTTCTCCTCTGATTGCTGTGGCTAAAACTTCCAAAACTATGTTGAATAATAGTGGTGAGAGTGGACAACCTTGTCTTGTTTTGAATCTTAGAGGAAATGGTTTCAGTTTTCCACCACTGAGAACGATGTTGGCTGTCGGTTTGTCATATATGGCCTTTATTATATTGAGGTAAGTTCCCTCTATGCCTACTTTCTGGAGGGTTTTTATCATAAATGGGTGTTGAATTTTGCCAAAAGCTTTTTCTGCATCTATTGAGATGATCATATGGTTTTTCTCCTTCAGTTTGTTAATATGGTTTATCACATTGATTGATTTGCCTATATTGAAGAATCCCTACCTTCCTGAGATAAACCCCAATTGATCATGGTGTATGATCCTTTTAATGTGCTGTTGGTTGCTAGTATTTTGTTGAGGATTTTTGCATCTATGTTCATCAGTGATATTGTCCTGTAGTTTTCTTTCTTTGTGACATCTTTGTCTGGTTTTGGTATCAGGGTGATGGTGGCCTTGTAGAATGAGTTTGGGAGTGTTCCTCTCTCTGCTGTATTTTGGAAGAGTTTGAGAAGGATAGGTGTTAGGTCTTCTCTAAATGTTTGATAGAATTTGCCTGTGAAGCCCAGATTATATTCTTAAAGAAAACGCAGTGCGTTCTCCCAGGGAAGTTGTCCTTGGATCACAGGACCCTGGCAGTGGCGGGCTGCCCAGGCTCCCGGGAAGGGAGGTATGGAGAGTGACCTGTGCTCGCACACAGGCTTCTTGGTGGCGGCAGCAGCAGTCTTAGCGTCTCATGCCTGTCTCTGGGGACCGCGCTGATAGCTGTGGCTTGCGCCCGTCTCTGGACCTCGTTTAAGCAGCGCTCTTAATCCCCTCCTTTCGAGCTCCAGGAAACAAAGAGGGAAGAAAAAGTGTCTTGTCTCTTCGGCAGGTCCAGACTTTCCCGGATTCCCTCCTGGCTAGGTGTGGCGCACTATCCCCTTCAGGCTGTGTTCACGCCACCAACCCCAGTCCTCTCCCTGCGCTCCGACCGGAGCCCAAGCCTCAGCTCCCATCCCCACCAGCTCCGGCGGGGGAGCAGACAAGCCTCTCGGGCTGGTGAGCGCCGGTCGGCGCCGATCCTCTGTGCGGGAATCTCCCCGCTCTGCCCCCCGCACCCCTGTGGCTGCGCTCTCCTCCGTGGCTCCGAAGCTCCCCGCCTCCGCCACCCGCAGTCTCCGCCCGCGAAGGGGCTTCCTAGTGTGTGGAAACCTTTCCTCCTTCACAGCTCCCTCCCACTGGTGCAGGTCCTGTCCCTATTCTTTTGTCTCTGGTTTTTCTTTTTTCTTTTGCCCTACCCAGGTACGTGGGGGAGTTTCTTGCCTTTTGGGAGGTCTGCGGTCCTCTGCCAGCCTTCAGTAGGTGTTCTGTAGGAGTTGTTCCACATGTAGATGTATTTCTGATGTATTTGTGGGGAGGAAGGTGATCTCCACGTCTTACTCTTATGCCATCTTGAAGGTCTCCACAGCAATGGACATTTTTATATTATCTTTATATAATACAAACTTACTATAGTTGCTATTCGTGCCAGAAGTTTATCTTGACTTTTTTGGGGGAGCATTTTCTACATAGAAAATCACTATTGCAAAGATTTTTATTTCTTCCTTTCTAATTTGTAACCCCTTACCCCCCCTCTTGTGTTTTTGCACTAGCTAGGAATTCCAGTATAATTTTGAATTGGAGTGGCGAGCGGGAACATCGTTGCCTTGTTCCCCAAAGTGGTAAAGCATTTACTTTCTCATCATGAAGTATGATGTTAGCTATAGATTTTTTGTGTTATTTACCACGTAGAGAATCTGTCTGTGTATTCCTAGTTTGCTGAGAGTTTGTATCATGAATGGATGTAAGTTATTGTCTGATGCTTTTCTGCATCAATTGATCTTATCACATGTTATTTTTTTCTTTAGACTATTGATATGGTTTGCATTGATTGATTTTTGCATGTTGAACCAGCCTTGCATATATACTTTATCATGGTGTATATTTTTTAATACAGTGCGGGATTCAATTTGTTAATATTTTATTGAAGATTTTTGTATCTATGCTCATGGGAGAATGGTCTATAGTTTTTCTTTCTTGTGATATCTTTATCTGGATTTCATAAAAGGGTAATGTTGGCCTCATAAAATGAGTTAGGAAGTGTTCCTTCTGTTCCTATTTCCCAAAAGAGATTATAGAGAATTGATGTTATTTCTTCATTAAGTGTTTGGTAGAATTCACCAGTGAAATCATCTGGGTCTAGTGCTTCCCTTTTTGGAAGGTTATTAATTTTTATTTTCTGTGATAGTTTTAGGCCTACCCAGATTATCTGTTTCTCTTTGTGTGACTTTTTGTAGTTTGTGTCGTTCATTCAGGTTATCAGAACTGAGGGCATGGAATTGTTAATAGTATTCTGTTGTTATCTTTTAAATTTTCATAGGATCAGTTATATGATCCTTCTTTCATTTATGATATTTGTATCTTGTACTCTCTCTTTTTCTTTTGGTTAGCCTGTCTGCAGGTTTATCACTTATTATTATCTTTTCAAAGAAACTGTTTTAAGTTTCTTTGATTTTCTCTATTTCTGTCGTGTTTTAAATTCTATTGATTTCTGCTCTAATATTTATTATTTCTATTTTTATTCTAGGTTTAGACTTAAATGTATTTTTTCTTTAGTTTTCTAAGATATAAACTTAAATTATGGATAATAGATCACTGTTCATTTCTAAAATATGTATTTTACACCATGAATTTCCTTCTAAGCACTACTTTCCACTCATCTCACAAAATTTATAAGTTGTATTTTATATTCATTAGGTTCAAAGTATTTTTAAAAATTTCTCTTGAGACTTTTTCTTTGTTTGTTGTATTATTTAAAAATGTTTGTTGTTTAATTTCCAAATATTTGGGAACTTTAGAGCTACCTTCCTGCTGTTTATTTCTAATTCAATTGTTTTGTGGTATGAGAATATACATTGTGTGATTTCTTTTATTAGGATTGGTTTCTGGAGACTTACCTTGTTCTTTAGATTTGACTGGTTTAGGATATCTTTTTCTCCATTTTCCTTGACTCTCTGTGTTGGTGTCTGTGCATTAGACAAAGCAGGCACTTCTCCCAGTCTTCATGGGCTGGCCACGTATAGGACAAGACTCCAACAAATCAGTCCTGCCAGAGGTTCTGGAGTCTCTAATAATTCTTTCCCTCCTCAGGGGGAAACTGAGAGCTTGGGTTTTTTATCTGCTCACTGTGTGCTGAGCAAGAGAAGGCATCTACTAGCCCAAGCTGGGTGACTTCTGTCTCTCCTGGGGCTGGTAGATGGTGCTGGACCTGTTTGAACTCTAGGACTAGTGAGATCGATGCTAGGTCTTTGGGCATCTCAGGAGAAGTTGGGAAGCTGGCTGCACGGATCAACTCTTTCCTTCCCCAGGAGGAAGCTGAAAGCTGGGATTTTCCATCTGTTCATTCTGTGCTGAGCAGAGGAAAGAATCTATGGCATCTACCAGCCCAAGCCATCAGTTCAGCTCTGCCCCTGGCTGCTAGACTATGCTGGACCTGTCAGAAGTCCAACTAGCAAGACAAAAGCCAGTCCTCTAGGGAGCCCCTTTGAAAAAGTTGGGGTGTTGGATATGTGAACCAACCCGTTCATTTCCCTGGGTGAAGTTGGGAGCTAGGGGATCTCTTCCGGATCCTATGGTGCTGGGCTGGGATCAGGGACCCCAGTGAGAGGTGTCCCAAATCTCCCTACCTGCTTCAGTGAGTCTGGTTTAGCTTTCCTTGGGTGCAGGAGACTTCTCTTAGTTTCTAGATTTCTCACAATGGGAATTTGTCCATGAATTGATGCTGAACCAGTTTGTTTGTGGGAGGAAGCAGGATCCATGGTTTCCAACATCTTGCTGATATCACTCCATACGCTTTCCTTTAAAGGGGTTAAGGTGTGTTTTATGGCCTAGAATGTGGTTTATCTTGATGACTGTTCTTGAGAAAATTCATGTGACTTGAGAAGAAGGTGAATTCTACTCTTGTTGGATGGAGAATTTCATAAGTCTCAATTAGACCAGTTTGCCTGGTAGTGCTGTTTAGGTCATTTACATCCTATTGATTTTCCTCCTGGTTGATTTATCAATTACTAACAGGGGAGTTTTGACTGACCAAGTGTCCACAGTTGTCTATTTCTTACTCTCTATTCTGTCTTGACCAAAATTTAGTCAGGTTTCTCTCTTCCCTAGGGCCCCTGAACTTTGCTTGTCCCCAAGTGTGAGCAAGTACTAAAGTGCAGAACATCTTCCTTTATCAGTTTATATTGAGAATTGGCTGACCACAGTGTGACACTTGTCCTGTCAGACCCTGCTGGGCATTTCTTCTAATTGGCAGTACCAAAGGTACTGCTTACATTTTTGTTTGATTTTGAGATGCCTGCAGATTTCTGAGATGGGGTAGATCTCCCTGTTACAATAGTTTTTCTTCTGAATAAAATCTCTCCTTATCTAAGTCCAGATTTGTTTTTATTTGACAAAAGTTTCCAACCCCAATAGATGATTTGTCTATTTCTCCTTAAATTTCAATCAGGTTTTGTTTCATGTATTTTGGCACTCTGTTGTTAGCAACATATGCGTTTAGAATCATTATGTCTTTTTATAAAATTTAACTCTTTATCATTATGTAATATCCCTCGTTAATCTGTTTTTTTTTTTTTCTTTTTTGCCGTGCCACATGGCATGTGGGATCTTGGTTCCAGGGATCAAGCCCACACCCCCTGGAGTGAAAGCAGGGAGTCTTAACCACTGGACCACCAGGGAAGTCCTCTCTGGTTAATTTTTTTTTTTTTTTGCGGTACGCCGGCCTCTCACTGCTGTGGCCTCTCCCGCTGTGGAGCACAGGCTCTGGACGCACAGGCTCAGCGGCCATGGCTCACGGGCCCAGCCGCTCCGCGGCATGTGGGATCCTCCTGGACCAGGGCACGAACCCGTGTCCCCTGCATCGGCAGGTGGTGGATGCTCAACCACTACGCCACCAGGGAAGCCCAAGTTTGCCTATATTTAATGTTTGCTGTAGCTGTAGATGACAGAGGTTTCAAATTCTTGTCATGTCTTTTTTTTTTTTCTTTTTTCTTTTTGTCTCCCCTGTTGTCTATTGGCTTCCATGAAAATACTTCCTCTGGGTCTCTGCTTCCATCTGTGAATTATATTGGTATGGTGGTGGTGTGTGTCAGAGGGTAAATGTTCTATAATCTTACAGTTAAAATTTTAGTGGCCCTATGTCCCTAAACTGTGAGCTTCGGAAGTGCTTCTCAGATATCCCCCTTTTAGGTGACACCCAGAGGGTGCTGGCAGTCAGGCACATGCTCTATCCCCCAGGTGGGATAAGGCTCAGTTAAAGTCTTTTCCGCTGGAGGGTAGGTCTTTGTTGTGGAGAACTCTCTGGGAATATTTCAAAGAGGTTATTTTTCCCCTCCTGCTAGAAACAAAGGGAAAATTTTTCCTGGATCCTTACTTGGAGAACATGGTGTGGTTCCTGGAGTGAAAGCCCATGAACGCATGGGATTCTCCCTGAGATTGGGTCCCCAGGAGCTTCTCATTTCCTGGCTAGGCCACACTCAAACTCCAACATTTTGTCTGTTACCATTTAAGTGTATCTCCAGTGCCTTTTGCTACAAATTAGCAGTTCTCTGTTATGAGTCTCTGTATTTGCCTGTCATTATAGACTTTGGGGTGGCAGTTTGCTCTGATATTTTGATTCTCTGAAGGATCCAAGAAAAGTTGTTGATTTTCAATTGTTCAGCTTTTTTCTTTTTGTAAGAAAGGAAATGGCAACTTTCAAGCTCTTTTCCTATAAGTGCTGAAACCAGAAGTCTATCAATTTTATTATTTATGTCAAAGGGCAAATTTTTGGTTTTCTTGACCCTCTTTTATTGTATATTCATGTACTGGTTTGTTAATTTGGCTCTCATCTTTAATATTTTCTTTTTTATCTTCTGGGGGTTAATTTTTCCATTTTGTTTCTAAACTTACTAAAATAGACTATTACTGCATTAATCTTCATCCTTTATTTTTTTCTCTGATATATGTATTTAAGAAATAAATTTCCTGCTAAGCATGGCTTTAACTTCATCCCACACATTTAGATATAGCATTTGTATTAAATTTTATTTCAAAATAGTTCTAATTTCCATTAAGACTTATTTCTTCACCTAAAGATTTTTAAAGCATATTTTAAAATTTTGAAAAGCAAGAATTTTCATTTTATCTTTGTGATGTTGATTTCTGACATTGTGATCACAGAGAATATGCCATAACTGAAATTGTTTGATTTTTATTGAGATGAGCTTTGTAGCCAAGGATATAGTCAATGTTTACAAGGGTTCAGTGTATGGTTTTTAGAATATGTATTCTTCAGGAATTACACAGCATTTGTAAAGTTTAAATTGTTAATGGTTTAATTCCAGTTTTCAATATCTTCACTAATATGTTTGTCTGCTCGACCTATCCATTAAGGAGACCAGTATGCAATGTTTGAAAATTTTTCAATTTTATTATAATTCTACTAATTATCCTTTTATATATTGTTGGCCATATTTTTAGCACAAACAAAATGACAGACACTTTGTTATATATTCATGATTAATTAAGCCTTTTTTCATTCTGAAGTTAAAGTCTTTCTCCCTACTAATTGATATTGCTGTAATTCTATTTTATTTCATGTTAATGTAGCTATACCAGTTGCAATGGCATATTGTGTTTTTATCTCCTACCTCTGCTTTAATGAAGCAAGTGCCCCAGAGCTCACCTGACCAGACTTTGTTGACCTGAAGAAAAGAGCTTCTTGTTGCTTATCCTCAATGAAATCAAGAATTGTTTCAACACATAATGACAAGCTATGAATTCCCCCCACCCTATACACACATTCTCTTACCCTTGGTCTGACATCTGCATTAATCTAAAGGAATGATTGATGTCCATTCAAAACCTTAGGCAGACTGGACTTGCCTTTTAAGTATCTTTTCTGTGGTGCATATTCTAAGGTGGGCTGTTGGATTTTTCAGTGTCTCAAAACCAAGAGGTAAAAGACTCACCTGTGAGAAGAGTGGGATGAGGCACGGATGTGGCAGAAATTTACCTGTCACTTTCCTAGGTTCCTTGTTGTCATGGAAACGATTGCCTCGGTCTATACTGCCTGTGTGTGTTTGGGAGAACCCCTCTTGTATTATGGATCTCAAAGCAAGCCTTCTGTGAAACGAGGAATCATCAGCGTGAAGCTGTCTTAACACATTAAACTCCAGCAATGGGAGTGGGCTAGCATTTGGGCCTCCAGAGGATGCTAAGTGAAGTAAGAGGCCACCTGGTTATCGCTTCTAAATCCAGTGAACCAGGAAGAATGAGTACTTAGCTCACACCTGGCCACGCTTTACATCTTTTTAAGCTAACATTTATGGACCACTTACTATTTGTCAGGCACTGTGATGTACATTTTAGCTTCATACCTTGCTTAATCTTTAGAATGAGCCAGTGGGCTGTACTGTTATTCTCATCTGCACTTTACTGATGGGAAACTGGGGCTGAGAGAGGTGAGGAGACTTTCCCAGGTTTGGCCTGGCTCCTTCTGTTGCTCTACCTGGCCGTGGGCTTCCTGTGACCTGTTCTGTTTGGCAGCAGTGGACGTCTTGCTTATTCTGAGATCCCTCTGCCTCACGCTATTGGTAAATGAGTAACCCTAAGTCAGCTGAGCAGCCAAGGCAGGGATGGGTCTGTTCTAGGGAAGCATTTGCAGATGAGGCTGAAGTTCCAGAACTCCTTTGGTTTTGTGTTTGTGCATGTGTTCAAATGGGTCTATACCAATGTTTTTGTTTTTCTTTCACATAAAATGGAAAGGATTTGAGGACTGGACCCCCTACATAGGATATCATCATTCACTCTTTTTCTGTTCTGTTTATGGGTAATAAGGAGAAGACCAGCCCTTAGAAAACGGGTTCAGCTTGGACATCGTTAAGAGTTGAATGGTATCCTGCAAAATACGCATGTTGAATCCTAATTCCCAGGACCTCAGAATGTGACTGTATTTGGAAACAGGGTCTTTACAGAGGTAACCAAGTAAACACCATGAGATCCCATATGACTGGTGTCTTATGAAAACGGGAAATGTGGACACAGAGGCATGGATAGAGGGGAGATGATGTGAGAGACGGGGGAGAAGACGGCCATCCACAAGCCAAGGAGAGAGACCTGGAGCAGATCCTTCCCTCACAGGCAACTGATGCTCGTGTGGTGTGCGTGCCTGTAAAAACACATGCACAGGAAAGGAATGGGTGGGGGTGAGCTGTGTGTGTGTGTGTGTGTGTGTGTGTGTGTTTGAGGGGGCAGAAGGGAGGAGGGTCAGGGCAGGTCCTCTGGAGATGGTGACACGTGAGGTAAGGTTTTAAGGGGGAAGAGAAGTTTCCCTGGTGATGGGCTGGGGTGTGGGGGAAGGGCACCCCAGGTAGAGGGGACAAGTCGTGAAAGGTCATGAGCAGGGCAGCGAGAGGCTGGTGCGCTCACGGGATTCTGGACGCTGCCTGTTCCTGCTTCTCCCCCGACCTTCCTGAGCATCCTTCTCCTCTCACTGCCAACAGCACGAAGCACTCGAGGTCCAGTCCTCAGCCCAGGGCCTTCCTCTTCCTGCCACTTTCTGAGAACGGTTATCTTCATACCATTACAGGAAACATCAGCCATGCGGGGGCTCCCATGTGTGAATCTGCAGCTGGGACGGTCCTCTTCTCTGGAGTGTCACCTCGTCTGCAGTGTTTACATGTTCACAGCCCAGCATCAGCTCGGGCCCAAGAGAGCCAAGTTACATTCTCTTTCCTGCAAAAGTGTGGCCCAGGCTTCTATGTTATTTTTTGATGTCCCCACCATCAAT